GTAAAGAACAAATTGACAAATTGTCATTACAGCTGAAATGGAGCTTTACACAGCAGGGGAGGCCACTTGGCATACATTAACGGGCAGGCTGCTCCAAGCCTAACTGATGCTCTCAAATAAGTCTGAGTCAGGAGTAGGTGAAAAAAATTACAGTAATATTCCCATGGCTATAGAGCCATGATATATCCATGGGGGGGGGCCTTTAAAGAAGCCTGTTTTTAATATCACATATCAAATATTCTGTAGCACACTGAATAATCTAAATTAAGTCAATTCAGTTCCCAACATAATGCAGCTTACATTTGTATTTTAATTCAAAAGACAGGAGAACTAACCCCATATTGTGCTTGGGATCTTTCCAACAGGAAAGGGAGTCCATATGTTGGTGTTTCCTATTATATATTAAGGTGAAAAACGTGTGTTCATTGAAACAGGTTGTGAAGTGAACTGGGTTAAGTTTAGAGCATAGTAGAAGTGTACCAGAAGGTAAGAGACAAATTCACATTTTTCCTAAAAAAATTATTAGTCAAGCACTTACAAAAAGCTAAACACACCCTTTTTAGACGTTCTAGTCAATGTATACTGTATAGTGGCCTAATTTCCAATCCTGATGTTTATACATCATTATGAATTAGTAACCATGCAATATTTAAACAATTCAAATATAGCAGTAAAGTGAGCAGTTAAAGAAAAAGAAAACAGTGGTCTAAGACAGGTGAAGATGGCTATTGAACTAATAAGAAATTCTATAGCAGTCATTATAAATATATTGCTACCAATCACACCTCAGAAGCATGACAGGCTACTTAGTCTACACCGGGGCTAAGTTTTATGATGGTTGGTTACTTTCTGGTTTTTACATTGATTAACTGTAATTTGTGAGTCACAAGGTGCCTAGAGCAAAGGTTAGGTGCCTTTTTGGTACAAACTGGTAGAAATCTAAATAAATACATAATTAAATTGTAATGTTTCCCTCTCCCAGTGTCTCCATTTAATCATCACTCATTGCGGTTGGCAAAAGGCCTATTGGTCAGTTTTGTCCTGAACAGGCACATAGCTGCTTCCCCACATCACAGCTGCTTGCTACACTTATCTGATTAACCTTAGGCTTTTCTGCCCAAGTCTTAGCTTTTTGTGGAATTTTTCAGAACTTCAGGCCCTGCCTGCTTGTCACATAAGCTTCAGACTCTTTTGACAGAGCTGTGTGAAATGAATTTAACATCACTTTAGCTTAAACTACAGAGTTCCACTACCATCTGTTGTCTCCCCAAATCAGCCTAACAGTTCTTTCACCCTTCTTTGGAAGCTAACATCTTCTCTCTTTAGTCCTAACTCTGTAAACTATTTTTGTTATTTAATAAACTGTACCAATTTTACCATTAAGGTTGTCCTTAACTTCTCAAAATATCAGAATTGGAAAAGGTACAGCAAAGGGCAACAAAAATTATTAAGAAAAGGAGGACTTGTGGCACCTTAGAGACTAACCAATTTATTTGAGCTTGAGCTTTCGTGAGCTCACGAAAGCTCATGCTCAAATAAATTGGTTAGTCTCTAAGGTGCCACAAGTACTCCTTTTCTTTTTGCGAATACAGACTAACACGGCTGTTCCTCTGAAACCTGTCAAAAATGATTAAGAGTGTGGAACAGCTTCCGGATGAGGGGAGATTAAAAAGAATGGGACTTTTCAAACTGGAAAAAAGACCACTGTAAGGAGATATGAGAGAGGTTTATAAAATAATTAATGGTACGGAGAAAGTGAGTACAGAAGTGTTATTTACCCCTTCATATAACAGAAGAACCAAGAGTCCCCCAATTAAATTAAGAGGCAGCAGGTTTAAAACAAACAAAAAGTACTTCTTCACACAACACACAGTCACCCAGTTAAACTCATTGCCAGGAGATGTTGTGAAGACCAAAAGTATAACTAGGTTCAAAAAAGAATTAGGTAAGTTCATGCAGGATAGGTCGCAGCGATGGCTATTAGCCAAGATGGTTAGGGGTGCAACCCCATGCTCTGAGTATCCCTAGCCGCTGACTGACAGAAACTGGGAATGAACAACATGCGATGGCTCATTCAATAATTGCCTGTTCTGTTCATTCCCTCTGAAGCACCTGGCACTGGTGGCTGTCAGAAGACAGGATACTGGGCTAGATGGACCATTGGTTGGACCCAGTATGGCTGTTCTTCTGTTCTTTAGTACCCAACAAACTCTGATCAATACAACCTATTCTGTGGTAATACAGCACAGGACACCATGTCTTCTAAAATCCCAAGGTAACATGAGACAGCCAGATAGGTTTCATAACTGATTTAACTCTTCCCCTCTCCCTACCCGGACTATACTATAATCCTTAAAGTTCCACAGCTTCCTAATAGGGTAGAATTAAATTCAATAATCAACCAGGATTGATTAAATTTAATCACCAGATGCATTTCCACTGAAAGCATCCAATGAAGTGAGCTGTAGCTCAGGAAAGCTCATGCTCAAATAAATTTGTTAGTCTCTAAGGTGCCACAAGTCCTCCTTTTCTTTTAACCAGGGATGGGTTACTGAATTCTGAATACTCCTCTCAGTAAGAACGATCCTGTATACCTTAAAAAAAAAGACTGAAATTATATTCCTATGAAAAGGCAATAAACCTTTCGGAATAAACAGAGCTATCAAACGAACTACCATTACAAGAACGTGGGACTGAAATCGGAATCAAATTTACAAAAAGAAAAGGAGGACTTGTGGCACCTCAGAGACTAACCAATTTATCTGAGCCGAAGTTTTCCCGAGCTACAGCTCACTTCATGGGACGCACGCAGTGGAAAATCTCTGCGTTTGCCCGTGATGCTACAGTAACGGGGCCTTCTCTCCAGCCGCCGCTCTTTGGGGAAACACACCGGGCACCTGCACGCCGCCTCCAGGGGCCTGGAAACCCGCGACCCGACGACAGTCGCTCTCCGGCTCGCCGCAGCACAACGCAGGCGGGCGGGGCGAAGCCCGTGGGGAGCCCGGGTCAGGAGCGGGCGAGCGGTTCGCGGACACCCGCGCGGGCCCAGGCAGCGTTCGGGGGGTGCGGCCGGGCCCCCGCCACACGCGGGCACGAGGCCCCGCTGCGGGGCGCCGGCTCCCAACCGCCACCCGGGTCACGAGGGCCAAGTCCGCCCCCGGCCCGGGGATTCCCACCCCAGGCTCTCCCCTCCCGCGCAGCCAGCCCGCGCCGGCCACGGGTGGGGGGTAATGCGGGGTCGGGAAAGGGGGGGGGGGCAACGGCTGCAGTCACCCCGTGCTGGGCCTCCCCGCTAGGCTCCCCTTTCCCGGCCCGCCTCCTCTGCGGCCCCACCCTCGGCAGCTCCCCGCCGCCCTTCCCTCAGCGGCGCGCAGCGAGCGCGGGGGCCACCGCCCTCGGCTGTGCCCGGCAGCGGGGCGGGGGCGCTGCCTGCGGGGCGAGCCAGGAATGAGGCGGAGGCTCGCCTGGCTGGGGGAGGGGGGGGGGACGATGCTGGGGCCTATCGATAACTCGGCGATCACCTCGTCGCCGCACGCCGCCTGTGTAAACGGGCGGGCACGAGCGGCCTCAAGCTCCGCCCACCCCCGTCGCCGCGCGGAGACCGGGCCCTGGGCGGCGCAGGCGCAGCGTGTAAGCTCTGCCGTGGGCGCGGATTCCTCCGGGAGTGACGTGATTCCCCATGGTGAGAGGCGAGCCCCGCTGGTGAGGGGCCCCGCCCCCCCGCGCACACTCCTCCCGGTGAGAACCCCCCCCCCGCAGGTGAAATGCTCCCCCCCGCCAAGTGAGAACCCCCCCCGCAGGTGAAGCGCTCCCCCCCCGCCAAGTGAGAACCCCCCCCCGCAGGTGAAGCGCTCCCCCCCCGCCAAGTGAGAACCCCCCCCGCAGGTGACGCCCCCCCCGCCAAGTGAGAACCCCCCCCGCAGGTGAAGCGCTCCCCCCCCGCCAAGTGAGAACCCCCCCGCAGGTGACGCGCTCCCCCCGCCAAGTGAGAACCCCCCGCAGGTGAAATGCTCCCCCCGCCAAGTGAGAACCCCCCGCAGGTGAAATGCCCCCCCGCCAAGTGAGAACCCCCGCAGGTGAAGTGCTCTCCCCTCTCCCCCCCCGCCAAGTGAGAACCCCCTGCAGGTGAACTCTCTCACTCCCCCGCCGCTAATGAAACCCCCACGGTGCGTGCATGCCCCCTGCACACTCCCCCAGGTGAAGCACTCTCCCATGTTACACCTCCCTCAGGTGAGAACCCCCACAGGTGAAGCACTCTTCTCTCTCACATCCCCCCGCCAAGTGAGAACCCCCCCGCAGGTGACGTGCTCCCCCCGCCAAGTGAGAACCCCCCGCAGGTGACGCGCTCCCCCCGCCAAGTGAGAACCCCCCCGCAGGTGACGCGCTCCCCCCGCCAAGTGAGAACCCCCCCCGCAGGTGACACGCTCCCCTCCCCGCCAAGTGAGAACCCCCCCCCGCAGGTGAAGCGCTCCCCCCGCCAAGTGAGAACCCCCCCGCAGGTGAAGCGCTCCCCCCCGCCAAGTGAGAACCCCCCCGCAGGTGACGCGCTCCCCCGCCAAGTGAGAACCCCCCCCGCAGGTGAAATGCTCCCCCCGCCAAGTGAGAACCCCCCCCGCAGGTGAAATGCTCCCCTCCCCCCCCGCCAAGTGAGAACCCCCCCCGCAGGTGAAGTGCTCTCCCCTCTCCCCCCCGCCAAGTGAGAACCCCCTGCAGGTGAAGCGCTCTCCTCTCTCACTCCCCCGCCGCTAAGTGAGAACCCCCCCATGGTGCGGTGCATGCCCCCCCCTGCACACTCCCCCAGGTGAAGCACTCTCCCCTGTTACACGCTCCCTCAGGTGAGAACCCCCACAGGTGAAGCACTCTCCTCTCTCACATCCCCCCGCCAAGTGAGAAACACCCCCCGCACACTCCCCCAGGTGAAGCACTGTCCCCTCTCACACACACACCCCCCCGCCAAGTGAGAACCCCTCATGGAGTGGTGCATGCCCCCCCTCCATGCACACTCCCCCAGGTGAAGCACTCTTCCCTGTTACGCACTCTTCCCTGTTACACACTCCCCCCAGTGCGGACCCCCGGCAGGTGATGCACTCTCCCCTTTCACACACCACACGCCCCCGCCAAGTGAGAACCTCCCACGGTGCGGTGCGTGCCCCCCCCATGCACACGCCCGCAGATGAGACCCCCCGGCAGGTGAAGCACTCTCCCCTTTCACACACTGCCCAGGTGAGAACCCCCCCGCAGGTGTGGTGCATGCCCCCCCATGCACACTCCCTCAGGTGAGAACCCCTGCCTTGTCACACACTCCCTCAGAAGAGACATTCTTCCCAGCTTCTCTCACACACTCCCCCATGTGAGACCCCCATCCCCTTCATACACTCCCCGGGTGAGAAACTTAGGTGAGATGCTTCCCCTCCCAGATACAGTGCCCCAGGTGAGATGCTCATGCACTCCCCAAGGTGAAACCCCCCTGCAGGTGAGACCTTGCTTGGTGCTGTCCTCTCTGTGCCCTCGCAATGATCCCCACAGGTGAGCCCCTCCGAGCCCCTCTGTATTTCCCCACATGAGCAGTGGTGGTGGGGATATTAACCCTCTCTGACATTGGGTCTGGCCAGGCTGTGGTGGACAGGTAGTTCAGCTGTTCTTCAGTATTGCCATGGAAACGTATGTGCTTTGCCATTGCAAGGGGGTATTTTATAGGATGGCAGCCTGTCACAATTAACTGCAATGGCGGTGCCTTAAAATGTCATTGCTGTGTATCAGAACATCACTCTGTTGAAATGCGTGGTGAAGTGGTCTAAAATGTCTATTCCTTTATGGGGAGGGAGGCATGAATATAAAATATAGTTATCTAGTAAGTGAATAAAACATACAAACTAAAATATGGGATGACACCCCCATGCCAAAGAACACAAAGAACTGTTACTGAAATGCATACGTCCAGTATGTACATGAGATAAACTCGAGCCATAATATTTGGATAAGGATCCAAAACTGTCCCCCCAAATTGGTGTTCAGCTCTGGGTTTTGCTTTGGGCTCCTCTCTAATTCGGTATTGCACTGTACAATGCTGAAAACAGACAAGGAGTGGTGTGTGGATGTTGGCAGTTTCTAGCTCCATGCTTATAGAATGCAGGATTTATATGATTCCTAAAAATCATATCAGTGATGGGAATGACAACCCAACCTATTGTATGCTGTTGCCTGAGCCAGGATTCTTCTCTGCTGTCTAGTCTTTGGTGCTTTATCCTGGTGTTAACGATGAGTCCAGGTTTTGTAGGAATCTTTGATGCTATAAATGTAATGAGTTAAACTTACTAGACTTATACAGTATGGATGACATCAAGCTATGTTCATTAAAATGTTTCATTTGCTGAAAAGTACAATAGCACTCATCTGAAAGCTTGAGTACTTTGTAGACAAAGGGACTCATTTATTATTGGTATTGGTGTTTGAGCTCATACGTAACATGTATTGCAAACAATTGTTCGTAGCTTTAACTTATAAAATAAACAGGTGTTTCATTGTTATATCCTGCAGTTTTCTGTAAAGACTATTTTTTACTTTGTTTTTATATTGAAACATTGATAGTCTTGGTGTGGGTAAAAAAGGATATTAATATACATCTGATATGTTAACTTGTATTTTGAGAAAATATATAGCAATGTGATGGACCTCGTTTTAAATATTCAGTATGTAGACTTCATTTGTCTAGAAGATGTTAAAACCTTTCATCTATGATTAACTGCTTTCTCTGTTGTGTTCCAGCCTATCATAAATCAGCATTAACTTTAGGACTGTTATGCTGAGTTATATGTATTAACAGTCTTATACTAAAGTCCTTTCCCTGTCAAAAGTACTAGCTACAAATTCACTTTGTAGCATATCTTCAACAAATACTGTTTACGAAATTCTAGAACCCCAATCTTCCAAACACATGCACATAACTTTACTCTTGTGAATACCCCTATGGAAGTCAATGGGACTGCTCATATGAATCAAGTTAAGCATGTACATATGTGTTTACAGGATTGTGGTATGAGTCCCCACCCACATATCCAAACCCCTGCTGCAGAAATCATGGAGATCACAGACAGTCACGGAATCCATGACCTCCGTGACAGACTCGCAGCCTTACCAATGAGATACGGAATTCATTTCTTGCACGTAAATGGTGACAGATCATAAAACTAAGATTATGTGGCAAAAGTTCTGACGTAAAGAGTAAATAGTAGGGGAAATGCCATCGGTGCTGGATAGAGATATATTTGGGTCTAAAATGGTGGTGGTGGATGAAGGTAATGAGGGACCCTAGGGTATATACTGTTACGTTGGAGTGAGTAGAAAAAAGAAAAGGAGTACTTGTGGCACCTTAGAGACTAACCAATTTATTTGAGCCTAAGCTTTCGTGAGCTACAGCTCACTTCATCGGATGCATACTGTGGAAAGTACAGAAGATCTTTTTATACACACAAACCATGAAAAAATGGGTGTTTACCACTACAAAAGGTTTTCTCTCCCCCCACAAACCCACTCTCCTGCTGGTAATAGCTTATCTAAAGTGATCACTCTCTTCAAACTTCAAAACCAGACTCCAGCGAGAAACTGTTGAATTGGAATTCATTTGCAAATTGGATACTATTAACTCAGGCTTGAATAGAGACTGGGAGTGGCTAAGTCATTATGCAAGGTAACCTATTTCCCCTTGTTTTTTCCTACCCCCCCCCACGTTCTTGTTAAAGCCTGGATTTGTGCTGGAGATGGCCCACCTTGATTATCATACACATTGTAAGGAGAGTGATCACTTTAGATAAGCTATTACCAACAGGAGAGTGGGTTTGTGGGGAGGGGGGGAGAAAACCTGGATTTGTGCTGGAAATGGCCCAACTTGATTATCATCACTCTCCTTACAATGTGTATCACTTTAGATAAGCTATTACCAGCAGGAGAGTGGGGTGGGGGGGAGGGAAAACCTTTTATAGTGGTAAACACCCATTTTTTCATGGTTTGTGTGTATAAAAAGATCTTCTGTACTTTCCACAGTATGCATCCGATGAAGTGAGCTGTAGCTCACGAAAGCTTAGGCTCAAATAAATTGGTTAGTCTCTAAGGTGCCACAAGTACTCCTTTTCTTTTTGCGAATACAGACTAACACGGCTGTTACTCTGAAACCTGTTGGAGTGAGTGAATCAGGCCATGACAGCAGAGCTTTAGAGGGCTCCCTGCAATGCCATAGGGCCTGTGAGACCTGATCCCTGCAGTCGAAAGATGCAGGTGGGAGAGTCTGTGGTCTCAATAGGGCAAAGCAGAGACCCACAGCCAGGGCTGCGAGGAGGAGGATGACAACAAGCCCCTGGCTCTGGGGGAGGCCACCCACTGCTCTATGGCTCCTACACTATCAATATCCAAATAAAATCTGTGTCTCCCATGCCATTCAGATAAATGGGAGTATGCTGTATTTTGTTTTACGGTGTGGAAAGAATTGTGAAACTAATGATTTTTTTAAAAAGTCAGTGTGCAGATCAGGAGCAACTGTAAAATAAGTCCTAGTAGGGAAAATGAATACATCTTATAGTGTGACATAATTTTATAACTGCCTTCCTGATAGTCTATCATTGACTTTGATGCTGCAGATTCTGTGTCCCCAGTTGGACAGATGCACTATACTAAAAGTACATGCTGTAGGGCAATAAAATAAGAATTTTGATCCCTGGTTGAAAAATGAGAGAATACTTCTTTTTTTACAGCATTCTATAAAGATGTTTGTTTATTTGAAAAAAATTTTAAAAACTGGAGGACTTTAAATTTCAAGATACCGTAGTTTTTCCAAAAACTCTAGTCTATCTGGATTTTAAGCATTTTTGTCGGTCCAAAAATTAAGATTTTTTTGAGAGGTGTGGGGATGAAAGAAGGTGCAAATCTCAATTTTCCTAGAATGTTCTGCTTAAAGCATATATTATCATAACTCAGACAGTTCCATTAACTGTTGCGTTTCAATCCTTGCAATGCATGAATGTCATGCCCAATATAGGACTATAGTATGGAAACCAATCTGGGAAAGTCTTATGTTCCACTAGTATTTGCAGTGCAGTTGTATCTGTGTTGGTCCCAGGATATTAGAGACTAATGACATTTAGTGCCTCACAGATGTGCCACTTAGTATGATCATAGTATGTACGCTATAAAAAAATTGTCATTCATTTTATGTTTAGTATCTCCAATAGCTACCAATCCTCATGCAGAAAATAAAATTAATTGTAGTCTTTTCTATTAAGTTAATGCAAGCACTCAAAATATTACAAGTAGGTAATATATAAGCAAAATGTATTGCAGTATGTTCCTCTGTATATTTATATTTTAGAAAAAACCATCATTTCATTTATATGTTCACAGCAATAATAAAGCTGTGTGAGATGAGTGAGTTTATGTAGTTTGGCCAGACACAAGTTTGCTTGCTCTACTTGGGTGTGATCTGACTTCCACTGAAGTAAGTGACATGACTCCTTTTATTAATTAGGACCAGCATAGTTGTTAGGTTTTTTTGGCAACTCCATGTGACGTTATTCAAATTACGTAATGAGCTAATTTGCATATTGCTAAATCTCAGCTTTAAAAAATTCTGTGGATTTAGTACTGGTGAAAGGCATTAGTTTCATCCCTAGCAAATGAAATCTTCTGTTTCTCTGCACAGCAAGCTTCCAACCCACACTGCCCTTCCAGCTTGCCTTAACCTGGATATGGGGGAAACTTCCTCTAGGTCCAACTGGGGTAGCCTCATCTCCATGGCCTTTGCAGTTCTTAACCTCAGTTGAGTCTGACAATCAGTGGAATGTGCAGTGGGGAGTTTATGATGTAGGAGCTGGAAATGAGACCCACCAACCTCATCTTGTAGAGTAGTCACCAGATATCCATTAGATAGAAACAACTTTCAAGCTCTACAGAGCGCTAGGCTGGATTTAAACTGGTGGCTTGCAGGTGAAAGACTCTTTAGTTCATTAAAAGTGAGTATTCTGGTGCCCCAGTAAGTGCTGACTTAAAAGAAGTGAAGGAACATCAAATTTGCAAAGACAAGCATCAGAATTAGGGTTATCTGGGGTATCTTAATTCTGCCCCTTGTGTATCTGCCTCATGATACAATCTTTAATTACATAAGAACAGCCATACTGGGTCAGACCAACGGTCCATCTAACCCAGTATCCTGTCTTCCAACAGTGGCCAATGCCAGGTGCCCCAGAGGGAATGAACAGGCAATCATCAAGTGATCCATCCCCTGTCACCCATTCCCAGCTTCTGGCAAACAGAGGCTAGGGACACCATCCCTGCCTATCCTGGCTAATAGCTATTGATGGACCTATCCTCCATGAATTTATCTAGGTGTGTATATATATGTATATATATATAAAGGATAAATTCATAATCATCACATGCTGTATTTTTCTCTGCATGAGTCATCAGCAGAGTTTGAACTAGGACTTTAGATCTACGACACAGACCTCTTGCGCTTGAGCAGTTGCTAAAAAATTAACTGGTAGCAGAAGTAGGTTATTATCCTCTATGTGGATCAGTTCCCAGAGCAGGAGAAGACACTTTGTCTGTGCGTTACACCTCTATTTGTGAGACAGTAGTGAAGTACTAAGTATAATGATTCCTAGGTTCTGATTCTGGCTCTGGGAGCAAAGTATGGTCTACTGGTTACAGCTGTGCTTGCAGACAGTATACCCAACCACATTGCTAACTAGCTTTGGCACGTTCGTTCTGAAAAGTAGAATGGCAAAGGGGATGAAATTTGAGTCCTTTATATTATAGACCAGAGTTCTGTTCCAAGGTGCATAAGACCATGTTCATCGGTAAGGGTGGTGAACAGCAAAAATATTAACAGCACTCTATGGAAGAAATGAGACAAGAACTCCAGGTATTTGGATTTGCAGTCTAGTGCAACTTCCCCCTACACCATTTTTTTTTTTTTATTAGGGGTTCTCTGCCTTACATATCTGTGTGTGACATTTTCCCAGAAATGCTGGAAGGCCTGACAGAAGTGCCAAATGACACTTGGCCAATCTGGTCCTGATCTTTTGAAGCTGCAAGCCTGTGTAAAAGGGCTTTGGTCTGACAAAAACAAAACACAGCAACAGCAACTCAAACCCTTGGGTGATGGAATCCTCAGCCCCAGACTGACAGGGTGCCTGCACATCTGGATCACAATAATAAGTACATTATAAATACTTACTGTAAGAGGACATAACCTGTGCTATCGCCCTTTCACCACCTGCTTTTCATGTGAATTTTGGTTCAATGGATCAGCACATTGATCACTGTAAGATTTGCTTCAAAGTACGGTATTCTTGGCTAAGGAATGATTTGTGGAATGTTGAACATTCTTCTGGTTTAAAAGCCCCGAATAATAGCAAAGATGAGATCTGAATAGAGGAAAATAAAAATTAGAGCAATAACATTTTCCAGAAATTGTTAATGTACTGCCAGACTACTTTATTTATAGAACAAAGAAATAGTATACTGCTTTCAAACTTGTAAAATGACTAATTCATGGTTGTCAATTGTTACTTAATATAGTTATTAATGTGCCTTTCTTAAATAATTATACCAGTTACACTATCTGTTTCAGTTTCTTTTACTGACAGATAACTTGGTTGTAACAAATAGTGTGGTTTACAGTATGATACAAGCTATGCATCAAAATACTAGTAGACAGTATTGAATCAATAAAATTAAAATATTAATCAGTTAGCTCTCTAAGGCCCTGATTCTGCAAACATGTATGTGAGTAATTTTACCCATGGAACAACTAGTGCATAAGTGTATGAAAGATCAGGGCATACATTTACTAATTCACCCAGAGTTATGTACCATTTTATAACATGTAAAGCTTTTAAATGCTTTTCAGTTCTGAAAGATCAATATTTTGGTGAAGCTAGTTCTTAAGATAAATGGTACGTGTGATTTGGAGAGATGCTAACCGTCCCTAATTTTCTGTAATCCTGATTTTTACATGTAATTACTAATCCAGGCTTATTCTACTATTTTTCAAGCATGCGCACACATACAGAGTATATAAAAATCTGTGTGTCACTCGCCACCACTTGGGTCTGACAAACACAGCAAAGAGTGCCACGGCCATGGGGGGCACTATTTTCTACCACCTCTATGGCACACGCACAGATTGCAATGAGGGTCTGATAGGAGGCAAGCTACAGCAATTTTGAATGGGTTGGAGTGCTGCTGGATTCATCTCCCAAGCCACAGGCTGCATGTTGCACTTTGTCCCGTGTGGACCCTGCTGGCATGCTGTAAGTACCTAGAGTATGTTCACGTAGTCCATTAGTGTCCATGCAGCCTCTAGCTTGCTGCCTGTCAGATCTTCATTGCACATTCTGGGGGAGAGGAGAGCATGAAGGGGCAGGAGGAGGCAGCGGTGGAGGAGAAGAAGAGGAGGAGGATCATCTTGGGAAGGGGGTCAGACCTGGGACTGTTCAAGGAAATTTAAGGCCATATTTGGCATAAGAGGGCAGCATTCCTGGGGCCAAGCTTTCCCTTCTCCCTGTTTGGGGGTGGGGGTCAGGGATGAAATGAGGGGTGAGGACTAAGGAGCCAAGTCCCCCTACTCCTTGTCCATGGATAGCAAAAAGACTGGGGGGAGGGGGTAGAGAGAGAGAGAGCCTGGTTTCTGTGTGTAGGGGGAAGGAGAGGGAGAGAGAGGGCCAACCAAGATCCCTAATTCTTTTCATAATCATGCTTAAACATCTCAGACATGGATGGCATCTCTGAGTTTGCTGGTAGGCATGTTATTTTGGTCCACTAACAGAACAGTTTCAGGATCTAAGGAAATATCACCATGTCCAAGATCATCTTAATTCTCTGAAGTATTCCATCCCTGAATTTAAGCACAAATGGACATTGCCAAAAGGTATACACTGTAGGCACAGTCCTGCAACAGTGCCCCTGTGAGTTGGTGAATACTCTCCACTCCCACAGTGAGGGAACTTGCCACCTCCTGGGATTGGGTTCTAGATTAGCATTTAGGGCTTAAACCTGCAGGTGCGGAGCATCTTTTGAGAAGTGCAGGGTACTCTCCGTTCCCACTGAAGTCAATGGGGGCAGTAGGCACTCAGCACCTATTTGGAGGTGCTTGGGTGTTTGCAGAATCAAACCCTTAATTCACCATAGTCCTGATTCTCCCAAGGTGCAACACATCCTTAGTTCTCATTGGCTTCAGCATGCCTCTAGAAAGGCACCTCTGCCATATCATTTGGTTTGATACTTACACTAGCTATCCTGAATGTAGAGTGATGAAATTTTTAAAAAAGTAACTTGTGGAATAAGTCTCTGCCTCACATCTCTGGTTGAAAATGAGGTTTCCATTATATGTATTCCATAAATTTCTGTTTTTGTGTTAAAGTCAAAGCTCTTGTTTAATGGATTTTTAACCTTTTCCAGTGAACAGTTGGTAGCAGTGAGAAATAAACAATATATGTTGAAGATAGTATATATTTACTCATCAAACCTTTCTGAAGATTTTAAAAAGAGAAGTGGATCCTTCTTTCTTAAAAATAAAGGCTGGGGATAGAGTGGCCATTTTAACTGGGTATATCTGGAAGGTCAGGTTGAATGGTGGTTATGTAAAGAAACATTGCTCAAGAGACACCAACAGTATAAATCAGTTTTCTAATCTTAATTCCTTTGTGGTAGTTTTTTATGCTGAAGAGTTACAAGTTTGCTGTAATGAACAGTATTTTAGAAATGTGCTAATTGACTTTTAAAACATGGATTCCTACTTGATTATAGGACGACTTTTTTGGTGGAATAATGTTTAACAATAAAATCTCTTGTATTTTCAGCAACATCTGTAAGTCTTTATTACTCACTGGGGTGCTGACATTATTTTCGAACTGCGAAATATCTGCAAGAATGTTCAGAAACGAGTATCAGGTAAAGCAGAAATTGCTATTTTTTTACTTCCTTTCATTTACGTCTTCCAAAGCTGAAACGCAAACACCCTTGATGTTGAAACCTTCTTAGGTGTTTAATTGGTCAATATTTTCTAAACCTTATTTGCAAATATAGAAATAATAATTAATTTTTGCAAATAATATCAGATACAAACACACCCAAGTTTGTTTTTTCAAAAACTTTAGTACCTGTCTGAGATCTTGATCGTTCAGTCCTTTAATCTGTGAGTAGATCTATTGACTTCAAGTTACCAGTGCAGTGGGTTTTGTTTGTTCCTTGTTTCCTCCATCATGGAGGAAATCTGGATCACTTGGTAAACTAGGTGCAGGCAAAAAATCTGTGTTATATTATGACTAAATGTAAATGCGTACATCTAGGAACAAAGAGTGTAGGCCATACATACAGAATGGGGAACTGTATCATGGGAAGCAATGACTGAAGATGATTGGGGGTGAGGATCATGGTGCATAATCATATGAACATGAGCTCCCAATGTGATGCTGTGGCCAAAAGTGCTAATGCAATCCTGGGATGCATCAACACAGGAATCTTTAGTAGGGCTCGTTTTGCCTCTGTATTTTACACTGGTGTGATAGCGCTGGAATACCGTGTCCAGTTCTGGTGTCCACAATTCAAGGATGTTGATAAATTGGAGAGGGTTCAGAGGAGTCACAAGAATGATGAAAGGATTAGAAAACCTGCCTTATAGTTATAGAGCTTAAATCTATTTAGTTTAACAAAGAGAAAGTTAAGGGGTGACTTGATTACAGTCTATAAGTATCTATATGGAGAGCAAATAATTGATAATGGGCTCTTCAGTCTAGCAGAGAAAGGTGTAAAAATCTGTCCAATCGCTGGAAGCTCAAGCTAGACACATTCAGACTGGAAATAAGGTATACATTTTTAACAATGCGGGTCATTAACCACTGGAACAATTTCCCAAGGGTCGTGGTAGATTCTCCATCACTGACCATTTTTAAATCAAGATTGGATGTTTTTCTAAAATATATGCTCTAGGAATTTGGAGGGGGCAGGTCTGTCACCTATTATGCAGGAGGTCATAGTAGATGATCACAGTGGTCTTTGTGCCCTTGGAATTTATGAATATCTGAAATGGGCCCTTAATTACTAAACTCAGTTAAAGTGCAAAAGTGGCGTCTCAAAAACCCTCAGTAAAGTTCTGTTATGATTCATGATGGATGAAATATTGAAAAATCAAAAATCGACTGCATTGGCTACATCTCTTTACTAGAAATTAATAGATATTCTTCTGTTTAGCTGAGCATTATTCAGAAAATCCTTTTAGGGTGATGTGGCAGGGCAGGGGTAAACCCCTTTAAGGCCCTGCCAAAATGCTGGCTGCAGCCTGCTCTCTGGCCAGGAGGCCAGGGGTAGAGACACAGTACAGGTATTCAGCAGGGAGCCCAGCTGCAAGCCCTAACAAGGGCTGGCTCTGAGGAACACATTAAGCTAAGTACTGACAGCTGGGCTGAGGCACAAGAGGGCTATAAAAGCCCTGGGAAAACCTCAGCATGGGGGGCTAGCCTGGGAGGAGACAGGAGGGTGGTATCACTGTCTCCTTACCAAAGAAGGAAGCCTCAAAAGCCAGGAGGCCCTGGGGAGGGTCTGTGGAGCACTAGCTGTTGAGGGATCGGGGAACTGCACGAACACTGTAAATAAAAACACTTGGGTGATCCAGCAAAAAAAGGTGTGGAAGATTCTTTATTATACCAGCCTAAACACAGGGCGCAGGGTCAAGTGGGAGGAAGCCTGTGGAGACAGGTGAGTTGCAGAAATAAAACACATGAAAATAATAGCCATTCACCTCTTGCATGTTTTTAATATTTTTTACATGCCATGTTTAAGAATTTGGTGGGGGGTTTTTTGTTTGCTTGTTTAGTTTTTTGCTTGCATGTAAAGAAAGGACAATGGTAAAAACATATCCTATTTCCTTTACCAAAGAAAGTAGTGTTGTAAGGAAGCATGGACTCTGATGCTGCAGTAAAATCAGACTATGAAGTCAAGAGTGCCATTTGTTGATTGTGTATATAAATAAATAAAAAGAAATATATGGTGGTGGTTGACTGTGGTCAATAATATTTATGTTAACCAGAGTTAACTATTGTTTCATGAGCATTTGCTCTGACCTACTCGGATTTAGCAAACTGTGCTCATTGATGATGCTATGCTCAACACCTGGCTAGAGTGATGTATCCTTAAACAATTTTATCACAGGGTGGCCCATTTGTTGAAATATTCAGTGCTCAAGGCAAGAATCCAGGAGCAAAATGGAAGATCTATGGCAGTCCATCAGCAATTTGGAAAGTAAGTTTTATGGAGGACTTATAAGACCTGAAGTATAAACCGTGGAAAAAAGTACATGAAGCTTAAAATTAGAAGGTAATGAGGGCTTTGACCTGACTATGGAAAAGTTGTCACTTGCAGTTCTGTCACCATAACAGAATAAATGACCACTTAAATTAGCACTTTATGCCTGCTTGCAAACTGGATTGGTCACAGCTGTAGTTTTATAGCTTAAATATTTCTAGTGGAACAAAGCTTAAAATAGTTTTGCTATTGTGATAACCATTGGGTCAAGTCTGGGCCAGTGGATCATGAATCATGTATCTGTCAACATATTTTATTTATAAAATATATTACGAAAAGCCAGAAATTTACTGAGAATATTATTACCATCTCTGCATTGTTATAAAATTCTTGTTGCTACGTACCTCTTGACAGTCTTAAGAACAATCAAAGTAGCCTAACACTTTGGCTGTAAGTTTGGGTTTTTTGCCATCTTAGACTCCTAGAACCATAGAGTTAGAAGGTTCAGCAAGGCTCATTCAGTCTAATCTCCTGCCAAGATGCAGGGTTTGTTGTGTCTAAACCATCCAGATGGCTGTCTGGCCTCTTCTTGAAAGCCTTCAGTGAAGGAGCTTCCATGACCTCCCTAGGCAGTCTGTTCAGTTGTCCTACTGTTTTTATAGTTAAAAAGCTTTTCTTGGGATTTAGTCTAAATCTGCTATGCTGTAGTTTGACCCCACTGCCTCTTGTCTGCACTCTGTGGCAAGAGAGAGCAACTTTTCTCCATCTTTTTTATGGAAGCCTTTCAAGTATTTGAAGACTGCTATTATGTCACCCCCTTAATCTCCTCTTCTCCAAACTAAACATATCTGGTTCCTTCAGCCTTTGCTTACATGGCTTGCATTCCATCCCTCTGATGATCTTTGTCGCTTGTCTCTAGATCTTTTCCTGTTTTGTTACATCCTTTCTATACATTTGTGACCAAAATTGGACACCGTACTCCAGCTGAGGCCTAACCTGTGCTGAGTAGAGTGGTACTATCAACTCCTGTGATTTTCATGCTATGCCTCTGTTAATGCAACCTAAAATTGCATTTGCTTGCTTTTTTTTTTTGGCAACACCCTTGCATTTTTGATTTAAGTTGAGGTTGTGATCTACCACAACTCCCAGATCCTTCTCAGCAGTGCTGCTGTCAGGCCAGTTATCCCCCATTCTTTATTTGTGCGTTTGTTTTTTTTTCCCCCAAAGTGTAGCACCTTACATTTGTCTTTGTTGAATTTTATTTTGTTGTCTGTAGCCCAGTTCTCCAATGTATCAAGATTCTTTGAATTTTAGCTCTACCTTCCAAAGTGTTTGCAACTTTTTCCCCCAGCTTTGTGCCATCTGCAAATTTGGTTAAGTCTTGATTAAGAGAATGATAAAAGGTTTGTTTGTTTGTTTTTTTCATTGTTCCTTTTTGTAGGAATTTGATAAAGAAGTAAAAGGCTTTGTTTTTGTCCTTGAAGGAAGCAGTCAAACAAACAAGATTCAGCTACCAAAGGAAACTAGACAAACTCGTAAGTATTGAGGCATTACAAATATAAGATGTTGTTCTGTACTAATCCAGTATTACTCCAAGATGTAGCTATTTGCGATATTGTCTCTTCCTTTGGGCAGCTCCTCTGTCAGGGGACTGAAAGGTCACTTTTCAGCAAGACAGTTGTTACCAATAAGTAGACGTTTAGAACTAAACACATTGGGGCAGATCCTCAGCTGGTGTGGTTTTTGCCCAAGGTCAAACCTAACTTAGTTTCTGCTCCGGTAGATGTTGTCAATAAAAGTCTGTCTGTCTCAGCAGGCATTGAATGGGCCTCTTAATCGCTCTTTCATTTTATTCTTAAAATGGTGATATTTACTCACTTTATAGAGCTGTGAGGCTTAATTGTTTGCAAAGAGTTTTTTGTGTTTGGTAAAATGTGCTCTACAGTCTAAGATTGATCATTTCTGATTACTTTTTACAAACAGTTGGTTGTTTAGATCCATGACCTTTTTTAAGTTAGAGTAGAAATAACAAGGGATGAGAAGTTATTCAACAAAATAAAACTTCAGTTTTGCAGAATTTCTTACCTGAATATTTTTCATGTGATTTCCCACTCTCCCCCCCCCCTCTCCCCAGTGGCTCAGGGAACTTAACAAGCAGTATTACAGTCATATCTATCTTAACATTTCAAGAGCTAGCTCATCAGGTTGTTTAAATCCGCATTGCTCCATTAAACTCAATGGAAAGACACTCTGATTTATACTACCTGAGAATCTGGCCCTAAATCACATATACTGTACCTGTTTTGAAATCTGCTAAACTAAACAGTGAGTGCTAGAAGACCTGTTAACTTAAGCTCCATGTCTGCTCCCCCTTCCAAAGGCATGGGATTTTATTTGTTGACTCAGCGTGGGTGGCCAATGGGAACAGAACTCCTACAGGAGCCATGTTGTTGTGGATGAGGGAGTAGCCCGGGCAACTGTTCAGAGGCAGTGAGCTTTTGCATGCTTGATCTCAGCTTCTGAAGACCTCTTGAGATCCATGTTGCTCTTGGAATAATACAGCTTTAGGATCTTAAAACGCCTGCCAATTCAATAAAAAGCCAACTCTCTCCTTCAGTAATGGAACCAATAAGAGGAAACTACAAATTTCAACTCATGGATACTTGTATACCCTGCAAGTGTGTGGCTTTTCCTGAATAGGAAAGTATCTTAAAGTTTTTCTTGTTTGCTCCCCAATTAAGCTATATTTCTACTATTTTAAACTTCAGAACTAGATCTGCCTCATCAAAGCCTCATAGATTCTAAGATCAGAAGGGAACATTATCGTCTAGTCTGACCTCCTGAATAGCACAGGCCACAGAATTGCCCCAGAATAATTCCCTGAGCATAGCTTTTAGAAAAAAAATCCGATGTTGATTTAAGAATCATCAGTGATGGAGTATCCATGGAAACCCTTGGGAAATTGTTCCAATGGTTAATTACTCTCTCCGGTGTGGGTTTTGTTTTGTTTTTTGCCTTATTTGCAATCTGAATTTGTCTAGCTTCAGCTTCCAGCCACTGGATCTTGTTATGTTTCTCTGCTCGATTGAAGAACCCATTATTAAATATTTGTTCCAATGTAGATACTTATAGACTGTAATCAAGTCTCCCCCTAACCTTCTATTTTTAAGCTAAATAAATTAAGCTCCTTGAGTCTTTCACTATAAAGCATGTCTTCTAATCCTTTAATAATTTTCATGGCTCTTCTCTGAACCCTCTCCAATTTATCAATATTCTTCTTGAACTGTGGACACCAGAACTGGATGCAGTATTCCAGCAGTAGTCAAACCAATGCCAAATATAGAGCTCAAATAACCACTCTACTCCTGCTCAGGATTTGCCAATTTATGCATCCCGGGACCTCTTTAGCTCTTTTGGCTGCAGCATCACACTGGGAGCTCATGTTCAGCTGACTACCTGCTCCAATCTCCAAATCTTTTTCAGAGTCATTGCTTCCTAGGATAGAGTCCCCCATCGTGTAAGTGTGGTCTCAGTTGTCATCATTAGGATTGCATTTATGATTTATTGTTTTTGATTAAGTAGTGAGTAATTGCCACATGCTTTTATAATAATCTTGGTGTGAACTTTTATGTGTCTTTGTGGGATATGCTGTTTATATGCTCTCTGAACACTATGAAGAACTGTAAATAAAAAAAAATTACATTCCTTTTATTTTCATAAGAATTCCACCAAAACCACAAATGGGACTTTTTAAAAGGAACATTTTTATTACAGTTTGATTTGGTTTTCTTCGGTTCTTTTCTGCTTTTGAAAGTTGTGTGAAACTTGGGAAATGGTATTGCAGAAGTATAGCTATATGTCATTGAAATGCTAAATGGTGGAGTTTGCTTTGTGTGTGTATCCATAGCTATATATTTCTTTGTCTCTGTTTCTAGTTGGACTGATCCAGCGGTTTCTGGTACTTCAGATTTATGTGCCATTGGGACAAGACTTCTCTACTGAATTGCTGTAAGAGACGCAGAACTTCATAGCATATTTTATGTATAGTAGACCCTTGATCAGATGAACCAATACCAACAGCCATTAATTCTGTGTGGCAGATTTCATGTCGAAGAGCGGTGATTTATGACATCAGCATAAGTAATTTTGATCATTATTTGTCAGACACCTCTATTTTCTGACCTTTCCCTGAGAATAGAAAGTAAATTCTATTTAACAAAACTTAAAAATACTTATTGTGACAGTACGCAGACTAAACTATATGCAGCTACGTGGAAAAGATGGGTGCTTTTAAATTCCTCTTAAACTGCTGAAGAGTATCAAAAGTGGTGTGTATTAAATATTTAGGCCTCCTCTGGCAGGGAAAAAAAGAAATACTGTTTAGTTTAAGGACATTTGGGAGAACCCAGTCAGTTTAATTATTTTTGTACCTAAAGGAGAAAAGAATGAAAGTCATTGACTTTGTTCAGCTGTGCATTTAGTGAGATCAGTACATTACTAATGTAGCATATTGGTTCTTTTGGATGATGCTTAAAACCTTCCAGGGTTGTCTGTTGAATTGTTGATAGTGAAGCTAGATGGTGAAATTTACAGATTCACTGAAGTAAAAAGATTCTGCCTCAAGCCAAAAACAGAGTGATTGTTCATTTTCTTGTCAGTAAACTGATTATTTGCCTAGCAAATGGTGAAGGAAAAAAATGAGTTTCTCTTAATGCTCGCTTCTCTCAACTCATAGTGTACCTCTCCTGCTAATCCATTGATTGAGAGGTCACATGCCTGATTTTAAATGGATGTTATGCCTGCTTACATCCAAGACTAAATATGACATGTTGTTTTTTAGTGGATAATGTCCTGAAAATCCTAAAATGTCTTTATTTTTGTCCGCCAGCCTGTTGCCAAGAACTAAACTAAACCAAATGCTGTGTAGGACCAAGACCAAAATTTGTCTTTGTGATGTAGGCTTGATTTGTAGCAGGACATGAGCTGTAAGATCAGACTAACGCTATTGCCAGAGCTGTGCTCATGTTATCAAAGATGCTGGTGCACAAACAAACCTTTCTCTGCAACACAGGAAAAACATATTTACTGAATGGAAAAATACAACATTACTATGAAATTTCATTTACTCTTCTTAGAAGGCATTGCAACCAGTAAAAAGCTTGTAATGAGGCCTCACCTCTCGAGTCCTTTGGCTTTTCCCATTCTGACCATAACCATATGTTCCTGCTACACCATTCCTTATGCATCTTTCACCTTCCAGACAATTCTTCACCACCCCAAAGAAGAGGGTCTTTTGTTTCCCCTACTGTCTGATGTTAAGAGATTTAATGTCCCTAGAATAGCAAATTTGAAATGGGCCTCTTCCTAACAGGTCTTGGGTGCTTTTGTCCTTAGACAATGTTTAAACAAAGGAATTAGGATTTTACCTGCCCACATGAACCATATAGAAGTAACATAGGTGTTACGATACAATGGATACATAGGCTTAGTGCAAGATCATAAGGAAATACAGAAGAGTTCATGTGTAATATAGAATTATAAAGCAGATGTAAGGAATCCATCACCTACTACAAAGAGTTTCAGAAGCTGGAGACAGAGTTCTTAAAGGGTAACTCAAAATTCTAACTTCCATAATTTTTTTAAATGTATTGGTTGTTTAAAACTGAAGTCTTTCTGTAATTTATGAATAATTCCTGAGGGACTGAGAATTATCAGTTCATTTTCTACATTTCCGCTCGTGGGAATGGTATTCTATGATATCTTGAGCACAGAACCTCTATCCAAAGCCTGTGGGGCTTCATTTGAAGTCGGAGGCAGTTTTGCTTCTTGGGACTGCAAGATTGGGCCTTGAAAGCATAGCTTCTGAAAGAACTATTTTACAATTACAATAAATGCATTTATGCTACTTCTAAGCAGGATATTACTGAATATGATACTGTTTTTTCTGCTGTTATCTTAGCAAATGTAGATCCTTTGGTATTTGCCTTTCCTGACCCCAATATTTTGTTATGTAAAGGGGCTTCAACTAATGTTAACCTTCTACCATATTTCCAGAGTTACAGGCATGAGCCAATTTCAATATTGTATATTAAACCTGAGAAGCTACTTAACAATAGAGTTTCTTGCTTCTAAGTTTTTCCTTCAGTGTTGACATATTTTGTAAAGGTAAAACTAATATATATGAGTAGCCTTTCATTCTTGAATTCTTATCCCCCAGAGCCCCTGCTTGTGGATTTGAGTTACTGTCTCAAAACTTAAATAAACGTATAGGGAGCTTCCTACCTGATTGCGCAAATTGGGATCTTTAGTATGTGATGGGGAGATGATGGAGGGTAGGGTACTACTCTGAGAACTGAACAGGAATCATGCCTGCAGCTAGGCCCTCGTATATTCTGAGATCTTGTAGAATTTGCTGCAGAATCTATATATACCTCAGAATTGTGCTCCAGAATATAACCCTTCATTTAAAACAAACAAAAAGTACTTGTAGCATTCAGGGTTGCAAAGATAACTTTCCAAATACGAGTCTGTTTTACACTGATGTAGTGTTGTCTACTGGCTCTGAATTATTGCCTCTGAGAGATTTGAACTGTCCCATGCATCTCAGTGGGGCATTAATGCTGGAATTTAAGTCTCAAAATGTAATTGTCAATATTAACTGAATTATTAATTGTTTTGATCAAATCATCCGGTTGATGTGCCTATCCCACAATCCCAAAGGACCTCCTCCTGCCTGCTTTGGTGGCAAAGTCTCCAGATATGCAAATCTAGTTCTCCTCAATTCTGCCTGCAACTTCCCCTCCCTCCCTCCCCCCCTCCAAATTGACAGTGTATTGTTATGCACTGTTCATGCATTATGTTAATTTTTTACCAAATTCAACGGAACATTGACAGCTAAAAATGTAGATGCTGCATAGGATTGAATTTAGTGCTTTAAGATATATTTTACAGATTTTTATTTATTTTCCTGTAATAGTTCTTTGGTTTTATGACTTAGAACTTAAGGCCAACATTTTCATATGTGAATATGGATTTAGGGTACCTCAGTTTTTAAGTGCCCAATTTAGGACACTCCAAAGGGCCTGACTGCTGAGCATCCATCCTCTGAATATTTCTAAAGAATCAGGCCCCTTTTAGAAGTCTCTTAAGTCAGGTACCCAAAACCGAGGCATCAAAAATTGGTAATCACTTTTGAAAATCTGGGCCTAAATGCATAGGAATTACAATACTGGATCAGATCTCCTTCTGAACTGAATTAAATGAAGTTAAAAATACATAAATAATTTCCTAATATTACCCTGGCATGCAAGCAGTTGCTGTGGTTTGCAAGAATGTTACGCAAGTGCAAATAAGAAGAGAGGTAGTTCACACAAACTTGACTGGAAGAGAGGTCTCTACAAGGCAATCTTTCTGTTTAGATGAAGTCCAAATTGACAACATTTAGAACCTCTGGTCTAGAATATTAGTTCAAGCAAATATATTAAACTTAGATTTTTTTCCCTAATGAGGGAGTTGACCGCTTAATTGTATGTAAATGTAGTGTTTGTAGAAGACAGGAACTTTAAGATATATAAAAAGTCCATAGCACAGGTACAGTGTAGGCAGTATTTGTGAGAGGAAGTACCAGAATGTGTGTCAGATATTGTAAGAATAGGATTTCAAGCTTAATAGCTCCCTTTTCTCTTCCTGTTTTTTTCCCTACTGTGTATACCTTTTGTCTTATTTCAGTTGTTTCCTTACTGTCTTAGTGACTGTTCTTTCTTTATCATTTGTCTTCAGTCCTTTCTGCCTTGCTTTGCTTTCTCTTACAATTTGTCCTTTTATTTTTAACCTTGAAAGAAACTTTTTTGGTTTGTACTGCATTATTTAGCCCACTACACACAAGATTGCTTGTGTTGAGCATTTTTAATAAAATTGTGTTAATTTTAATTGTTTGAAAATTTAACAAATTGAAATTGCCTTTAGACCACTATTAATTGTCTGTTTTTTATGCAGTGGTTAGGTATTTCCCTCTAATGAGCACAGGACAAAAGGGTTAGAGCAAAGTGTAGTCACCTGCGTCCTCAGCATGGGCATACCACGTACAGCTCTGAAATAGTCTTCTGTTGAAGTAGAAATTAAAGTGCTGTGAAATGTTTTTAATTTCTACTATTTCATTGAAGGGGGTAGAATTTAGCTAAATGCCTTGTAAGGCATTTTGAATTCCAACTCTGCTATGCTCTAATTTTTAAAGGAATTGTAGAACAGGAGGCTCCCTTTCTCCACCCTTGATGGATTGTGATCCTCCCCTACATGGTGGTGGTAGGTCATAATATTTCCTGAGTTGATTAGATGACCAACAGGAAAGAAAACAAATTCTCTAGAATATTTCAGAGTAAATGGGAAAGTAGGAACAAAGAGAAAGGAAATCAAGTTGTTTAAATAGGAGAAGAAAACTGTATGGTATGTGAAGCATTTTTGAAAGAAAGGGGGGAAAAATATATGAACGTGGATGGTGGGATGAAAGTAACTCTCCTTTTTGGATGTTAAAGTTTTGGAAATCAGAACGGTAAAGAAGGCACCAACCACATGAGGCTAGAAAATGAGTCCTTGTAGTCCAGGAAACAGACCATGCGAGTTGGTCACTTTATTCCAGGCTAGCAGAGTAACGTTTAAACTTATGCTGAGGTGCTGCACATTTTTTCCACCTGTGCTGAAATGCCCAGTGTATCCCATTATCATTCCACTGCTTAATCTTGTTTATAGCATTAAGTCTGCTAACTAAAGACCACTATATTTAAGTCTGCAGAATAGCTTCCATTGAAACACTCACAACTTACCAAGAACTTCACTTTTTAGGTTGAAACTTTCCATACTTGGTGTATCTTCAATACGAACATGTTTTGAAAGTTTGAGGAAACTCCTGTAAAACTGAAAAATCCACTTTGCCCTTTAAAGAATAATTCTAACATACTTTTTGGCCCAACTCTCAAACTTGGCATGTGAACCGTCCTCAAAGAGGCTTTATT